TTTACTGTTACACTGTAGTTTTCTTCAAGTTTGATGGGGATCAATTTGTTATCCAATCAGGCACGTATTTTATCTATAATTTAGGCCTAATTATAGAACAGAAGGCTCCTCCCTTCACTCAGACATTTAATCATGTATTTATAACAGATAATATTTGTGATGATAGTAACTCCATTCTTATGATTTTCTCCTTTATTGTTAGACTTCGTCACGGGTAATTTGATAGTTTTATGAGGTAACCTCTTTTCAGGTAGTAATCTATATTAGAAATGATTTTTTCTTCATTAATAACGGCATCTATGGTACTATCACTATTTTCATCAGAAGATGATTCAGAATCACTGCTCTCTGATTTCGAATCCCAATCCAAGGAGGCCCTCGAGGCTGAAGTCAAGGCCCTCAAGGACCACGAATCCGCCGATGGGGTAAATCCTAGTAACTCTTAGAAGATCCCTTTGATTACATCTATGTATTTGCTTTGGAGTAGCAGCAATAATGATAGCAATGGAAATCAAAATATTGCGATAATAAGGGTCCATACAAAAAGCAAAGATAGCTGAAAAACAACAGCTTCTGGAATAACATTTCTACATGCATGAATCGCTTTTCGATGGCGATTGCAAACTCGGGCAGTCCTTAAGCCGGAAGCTGAGAATAGTTTATCGGTAAAGATCTCTCTACAAATTCTATTCTAACGGTCGATATCCTATCTTCGAACTTGGAGGATGGTTCGTCTCAATCAGTCATCTCTCCCTCTTTAACTGAACCTGTCTTCACTCTGTTGGTTTTCTAGGATGCTCAAATTTAAAGAAGAGGAAAACAAAAAAAAATGCATCAAGCTTTCATTCTATCTATTATCTTTATAATCCAATCAAGAAATGCGTACTAAAACACTGACCATCTCTATCTCTTCTTAAACCAGGTTTCGTTCCAAGATACTTCTATCTCTCGCCGGAACCAGCCGTTTTCACCCAACTCACGAATCAGGGGTTCAGTGACTCACCTCACAAGCTGATCCATCAATCAAGCCGTCACTCGACCGCATCAATATTCATCGTTCCTCCATGATCTCTGACCAGCCTTCGAAGATCCCTTAAACCAATCCCAGGACAACTCCCTAAGTCCACATCACTCCTACATAACCCGCGTCAATCAACCAGTTCCTCCTCGGCCTCCGATCACCTATCATCCTCCTCAACCGTAGACTCCCAGCTCAGCTCCCGCCAACGATCATGTACAGTGACAAAGACCAGCCAGCGTATACACACTCCAAGAACCCACGACGGAGGTTATATCCTACAACGTGACCAATCCGTTGGACGTCGATGGGGCCGGGACTCTGAGAATCGTACCCTCTTCCACAAAGCTGCCGATCACAATCTCGTCTTTGTGGATCTCGATCTCATCAATAATAGACAGGAGACCGAGGTGGAGAGTAGGGGGAATGATTCGGATATGTAGTGAGTGATTGCTCAAGTTCATCGCCAGAGGAGGAGGAAGACCCAAATCGAGACCGTCAACCGAGCGCCATTGGATGCTGTGTTATTAACGAAAGCTGTTAAGAGTGTTGATCCGATCAAGCGATTGATTTACATTGCCTGGGGATGAGACCGTTGTGGTAAATGTCACCTTTCTCTCCCACTCAATCTTACTTTTTTTTTCTTTTTTTTTTGAAGTTGATAATTTTCAACTGACCTCTAATCTCAATCCTTCCAGTTCGATATCGGTGAGGATGATGATGATGGAGAAGATCTCCAGAAATCTGAAGATCAGTTCGGTGGGAACGATAACGAACACCGACCGCTGAGAAGATCAACATCGACCGAACGACCTCCGGATTATCATTGAAAAATAACAGCACCTTATTCAACTACCATTGGGTAGGTTTGACTGTAAATGGTGAACAGCAGTATTCAACATCAGCTTTTTCCTGTTGAAGTGCGGGTCGGCGCAGGAAAAATAAGCATCCATATAACACAGTACTAGTCTGATGCATTCCTCAACAATGTCTCCAGGATGTCGTCCCGCCGGTGCTATAAGTTGCTTTGCCTGCCTCATGAGTGCAAAACACGTACATGTCTGGACAGAAGGTGCGACTCCGGCCGGAGACCAAGCGAGGGCAGCGCTTTCCGAGGTCCTCAATCTGTTGTACTTAGCCATTGGCTGCTGAAGAATGCCTTCATCGTTAAGATCACATACAGCCCAGTGCTAGCGCTCGCAGTCATCGTCCCTGCAAGTTGCAGACTCAGATCCAGTTTCGTCGGCGAGGTATAAATTACAGGCTCGTCAAGAGTCAGACGCCAACCAGCCCAGTGCAGCCTCCCGCTTGCTACCCAAATATGCTATTCCGACAGTACACTAATCTTGAGGCGCTTTCAGGGTGATGGCTCTTAATCAACACATCCTAACGTCATACGCAGACTGAAATTTCAAACCATAAAACATGTGCCGAGTGAGCAGGTTCATCGGGGATTGATTTTGCTTTCCTCGTCTCCACAGATTTACGCAGCACTGGAACATGTTGCGCTCTGCTGACTTTCAGTCAAACTCATAGGATCGTCTTGAAATTTGTATTCACAACTCTGCATGACTTGATTAATATAAAAACTCACCATCGGTTCACCAACTTGATCGCAACATCCTGGTCTGACGACCTAACAGAGAGTCCTGACCTAGAATCATCAACATTTAGCAGCACAAATTCTCGTTTTTCTCAACACTTTCCTGATCACATCGACAGTATGAATACTGCGGCATTGCCGATTTATTTTCTAGCTATTGCCCTACTATCGTCAATCGATCAAATTGCTTCTCTGACAACGTTTGAAAATACTTTCAAGGAAGTCAGCTCCGTGTGGTATGAGAAAGGCAGAAAAGGTCAGCATTAGAGACGGGAATGCAAAGATGCCTTTTCTAAACGAGATATGCATGGTGGAAGTAATATTTGTTTTGACATAAAATGATTTTTTCAGAGGCCAATACACTGTTGGCCAGAAGTAAATATCCTAGCTCACCAACGGAAATTACAGAGGGTAAGTCCCATGCATCATTTTTACGGTATTATATTACTAACTGAGACAAATCTTCAGGGATATTTGGGAAGCGCACCAGTCCACATGAATCTGGAAAAAATACCGAGCAAGAGAAGACAGCTGGTGAGATCTTATCAATAACGCAAAAGGGACAATTGAATGGTCTTGCTGACTCTGTTAAATATCTTTGTTTCAAGCTCAACTGGCGAAAACATCTCCTCGTAAGTTTTTTGCGATACTATTTTTGTCTGTTTGTTTGGGATTTCCAGTAAAGCTAAATCAGGCTGCTTGAATGTGTGAACTGATCACAAACAGAAGAGGACCTGAGAGTAAGAGTCTATCGGAAAATTTACGAGGTTCAAACTTTTGAATTTCCTGGGAATCCAAGATTCCCTATTGGCCTCAGTGAAGAAGCAGAAAAAAGCATGCACCAGTTGTTTGAAAAACTTTGGAAGTGTGTGAGCCTTTCCGAAATTAAATTGGACGGAAAAATCAAGGATCAACACTCCTCAGGACTTTCAGAAGAAGCTTTGACAAGTCTTTACGAGAATTTTGAAGAATTCTACACCTTCTTTGAACAAAAGGCAAATAGAGATTTAAATAAATTGATGTTCTGTTTAAGTGATGCACTGGTTGGATATCTGTCTATTTTAGAAAAACACAAGTTAATGGATTTGGCTGCTCTCAAAAGATTTCTAAACACTCAAGATCATTGGGTGATCATATTCAACTATGTCACTGGGAAATTCCTCTCACAAAAAAGTATTACCAGTCTTTATCTGACCTATGACTTTGAAAATGATCTTAAGCAAAGTGCCTTAACAGAAGAAATACATGGTCTTTTGGCATGTCAGTCATATCATCATCTTAATTTTTTCATCTTTGAATGAGCTTTTGAAGAAAAAAAGTGTGGTTAATCTGACTAAGTATTTCCTTGCTCAAATGTTTGATATTAGTGATAGATGATAATAATTGGCTGAAGATGGAGCAACTATATCTTGAAAGAGAAATCAAATCAACTGATTTTGATCTTAAACAATGGAAAGGATTCAAAATGGATATAGTGGAATTTGAACAAATTGAATCAAAAAGAGTCTCTCAGTTCACTCATCATATAGAACTCAACATTGAAGCATTGGCAGCTCACCTGAAAGAAGACATGAATCTCAAGGGATTCACACGCCATAGTCTAATTCATTTAAAGCTACTTCACAGGTCAATCTTTCTTTTAATTAAATGCAACATGAAATATTCTCAAGGTAAAATTATCACATCCCTGAAAAAACAGGCTTATTACAAAGAAATTGAAGCTCTTGACAAAGGAATCAAGCTTTTCTCTGATTTGTTGAAGGTTATATATTACAAGTATGCTGAATTAGTGCAAGAGATTGTACCTACAATCACCATTGAGGATGGAAACATTCCACATCTGCTTAATGGACCATATTTGACAGGGAAAAGTAACATAAGATTACTTGAATTTGAGAAGAAATCAAAACAACAGGGACATTTTTCCAACAATTTTCAAAATGAAAAAACTCAAGTTGGAAATTCCAAATTCTTGAACAAGTTGACCTTGAAAAATTCTGGAAAACAAGAAAAACCTAATGAAATTAACAACAAGATTATAAATACAACTTTGAACCCAGATAATCTGGATTACTGCTTTACTAAATATGAAGGCAACATATCAAACAAACTTGATAGCTATTCAGATAAAAAATTGATTGATTTCGATTCTGATGAAAAAACTGATAAAATATCTACACTTCTGCAAAGCGATTCTTCAGCACCTGTGCCTGCTTCTACTCTTATCAAAATAAGTCAACAGTTGGCTAAAATGTTTGATGGTTTCCAAAATTCACATCGTCTAACTCTCACTGAAAAAGCAGATTTCCTGAAGAGTGTTCTGGAGAACCCAATGGCTGCCATATCTCCACAAATTCCAAAGATTTGATTTAATTCCATCACTGTGAATAGATTCTTTTTTGGAAAGAAAATTGTAGAATTTTTTTCTATAGAATCAAGTCATGTTTTGTGTAAATGGCTTGATTTTTTAAACAATGAATGGTCACTTTCTTAGTTACCCTTTCAGTTTATCTTTATCTGACCAATGATTTATTAACTGAGAGGTAACTAGATATTGTTGATGTTTTCTACTCCTCTCCAATTTTATCTCTCTTGGGCTTTAAATTTTGTGGATTTTCTCTCTTGTGGATTTTCTGTTTTGGGTGGTCTGTTTTGTCTATTTGGTTTTTAAAATTTTGCATCATATATTTTAGCATATTTTAACTGTCATTTGGTTTTTTTATGTTTGCGGTTAACCATTGTGTTTATTCTGTCCCTTTGCCTGGTGATCTTTGGGTTGGGTGTGAGTATGTTTGCTTCAATTCTTCTATATTTCCAATGTGTGATTCTTTGTGCTTGCATCACAGTGAGAAATGTTTTCTCAAATAGAACCAGTTGGCATGAGGGATACTCTGAAATATACGCCATTGTAACTTCATCTGATTAACACAAAGGATTTCCTTGCACAGTCACTGTGCAATGCGCACAGAGTTCAGAATTTGAATTTTCAAAATGCTGCATTCCTGTCACTGTCTAGACTAACCGGTTGGACCAGCCTGTCTGATGAGTCCTCAGATGGGTTTGCCAAGCCCCTCTTGGGCATGGCCGTCCGGCGAGTTGTTGAACCAGCTTGTCCAAGCAGTTGCCAGGCGGGGTCATCTGCTCGGATAGGCAAGTCCAAAGTCTTGTCAGACAGTCATGTCCAAGAACTTGTCGGACAGACCTGTCTGAGGACTTGGCAGACAGGCCGGTCTGAGCAATCATTCAACCCATTGTGTGTGACAAACTCAATAACAGGTAAAATCGGCTGGGTTTTTAATGGTTCCAAAATATTTTTTGCCAGGTTTGAGTTTTTCACTCTTCTCATTGTGTATGCTAAATACCTGTCACTCAGCTGTCACAGATCTTGTAGTAGACCTGGGCCAGAAGTGAGTGCGTGGAAGGATTCTCTTTCCTCATCCTTTCCACTATCTCCTATTCTGACCCAGGTAAGTCTCTCTCATTTCTTCTCTGTTTCACTTTATCTTTTTCTGATGTTTTCTGTTGTTTCAAGGTCTATTATCATCAATGAAAGTAATGCTAATCACCCTTTCCACTATCTCCTCTTCTGACCCAGACCTAGTCTGTCTCATCATTAATTTTATTTCAGGAACCCTTAAAGGTTCCTGGGTCAGAATTTGAGCTTAATTCAAGACTAAAATCATATCCAGAATTTCCTAATCCAGGAAAAATTCCAGCCAGTTGCAGGAAGCAAAAAGCTTATTGTGAAGCTCACTAACACAAGATCCTGAGAGAAGGTGGGGAAATATTTTGTGCAAAAGAAGCATTCTTAATTACATATAT